AATACTAACTTTTATAGTGAATACTCAGAACCAGCTTCTTTAAATACTAACTTTTATACTATGTAGTATCAGTTCTCCTAAGTACTAATACACACTTATACTATATAGTACTTCATTTAGTTACTTCAATCACATACCTCCGAAACCGTAATGGATCCTTCAATTTCAGATTGAGCAAGAGCTACTTCAGTTGGATCCCTACTACTTGACGCTTTTGAAGTCGGATCCTTTGAAGTCAGATCCTTTGAAGTCTTTGAAGTCCCTTCTTTTGAAGTCCCTTCCTTGGAACTTCCCTTTTCCTTTGAAGTCCTTTCTTTTGAAGTCCCTTCCTTGAAACTTCCCTTTTCCTTTGAAGTCCTTTTCCTCCTTGAAATTCCTCCCATGGTCTTAGGACCCATTTATGCAAAATCCACATCAACGAAAAAATCCCAAATCCAATCAAAACAGACACAAAACCAGGATTATCCACAAAACCATCCAAAACTATCTTTGGACCATCATCTTTTCCCAATTCATATCAAAACCGAAAACCCTATTTCAAACCCGAACCTATACATCTCCAATTCATATCAAAATCCGGCACATCTCAACCAAAATCCTTAATTTTCAAAATCGGATATCTAATAAACCCTAATTTCAAACAAACAAAATCTTAACAAATCCGACATACTTACAGTTGAAATCAAATGAATCCAATCAAAATCCCTATGAAATCCAAACCTTTTCTCGCCACCCTATACCTCGTTGAAGCAAAACCCCCTTTCGAAAAATGAAGAGATGAGATTTTGGGATTTTAGGGCTTACCTTCAAGTTCAGAGATGGTGCGGAAGACGATACAGAGCGACGATGGTGCAGAGATGGTGCGGAAACGGTGCAGAGACAAGGAGGAGACGGAGTGGAACCGGAGCCGGCGAAATCGTCGGAATCGCTTTCGAGAAGGAGAAAAGCGATGGGGGAAGAAGAAAACGCGAAACTGATTTTTTTGTTTATGGGGTCATTTTTTTAAAATTTTGTTTTGTGATCCGGATCGATCCGGGTTCGGATAGGATTATGCGGTTGGGTCATGTAATATATTCGATTCATTAAGGATGAATTGGTCTTTAGCCACATTTTCAATTAAAAAAAAAAGAAAAATAACTTGTTTTAATTGCTGGGGCTTTGGAGAATAAATTTCTCATCGCTGGGGCTTTTAAGGTTACAATCCACCTAGCTCCGTAGCCTCTCAGTGTAAACGGCCGTTTTTTGTATATACAGCGTGTGTACATTTTCATTAAATTTTCAACTCAAAACCGAATTTTTGTTGTAAACTATAACAATAATTAAAGTGAGATATGTGTGTATAACATCTACGTATACAATATATGTATATCATACATGAGTGTGTA